AGAAAAGAAAACCTAAAAAAATAACAATAAACTTTACAAAGATGTGATATTAAAATAATAATAAGTAATTAACCTTTACTATAATCATTATGAGACGGATGAAGACGAACGTAGCTGGAGTGTACTTGCTCTTAATTTTAATTTTTCGATAAGAAAATAAAGAAGTTTAATTGCAAATTAAAGGTGATTGCCTAATGCACCGCCTCTGATAATTAGGTTGTGTCTGTACTTACTTATGATATTATCTTGAAGAAGCATTTTCAACAGGCCTTTTACACATAAAGCATGTTTTCACCATATTATTAGAGATAATAAATCTTAAATATACATTTACAACCTTTACAACGTTATAAATAATAATATTTTCCGTAAAATACAAATAAGAAATTGACATGTGTCAGAAAGTGTCAGAACTGGCGCTCACAGAAAACTTCTGGCGCTGTCAAACTTGGCAACGCTGATTAAATAAGCCAATTACAGAAGAGGTATTTTCCCCCTCGGGGGGAGTAGATGTTGCTAACAAAATTTAGCGCGGGGAAGGGGGGAAGACTCCCTCTAGTAGTAATTGCTCGGAGCTTCTGACTATGGAGTCTGTGGTTCTGACATTCTGCAAGCTTTTTATAATTTGTAGGGTGGAGTGACATTAGTCAGAAATTAGTGACAGTTTAAAAAAAGAGCAGTAAGTTTTCCATTCCAAGCAAATTGCAGGTAGTATGAAAAGCATCTTTTCAACAATATAAAATGATTTTTAATTTACGCATTGCGGAAATATATTTGCTTCAATTTTAAAAATACAAATATACCATATTTGGTTTGAAAAGTTAAGTCTCGAAATCATTTAAAGTAAGCAATTGGTAATATTATTTCTTTTCGTTTACAAGTTATTCTTTTAGTTAAGAATAGACATATCTGTTGTGACACCTGGAAAATGGGTAGGTTTGCCTACAAGTTGGGTCAATCATTGACTAATTGCTAATGTCCATAGAAATAGTATAGAAAGCCGATTCCATATATCAAAAATGAAACCATAAGGAGAAAATAGTGTGTCGGAGCTCATGCGTATAACGGTGCTGGCGCGAACAGGACCGGTGCAAGTTTTTTATTGATCGAACAAATAGTTCACACATTTTTCAATCATACATTTTTAGAGATGATTCTATACAAAAAACGATTAAAAAAATTTCAAGTTAAGGTAAATATGGTTCTGACAGTCCTTATTAAGAAAGATATGGCATAAAATATGAATTAGTTAATTTTCGGCAATCATTAGTACAGTAGTCATGAGATTTTGCTTGTGATTTTAAAAATACTTTCCAGAAAAACCACGTGCTCCGATTTTGACTACGTTTATTATTAAACAGCGAAATTATATACAAAAACTTTAATCCACAATCTAAATTAGGTACTATCACAAGAAAATCACTGTTACAATAATTAATTACTTAACCAAAAACTAAAATACTTTTTAGGTACCTACGTAACCAGAAAGGAGCTGGACCATTTATCCTAATATTGATTTTCTCTCTCCCTACGGTAAAACTTAAAACAATAACAAATTGCCTATCTACTAGGGTCGGTAACTAAACGAATATACATAATGGGCGGATTTTGTTTATACTTAACATTACACTCGCGCATTTAAATATAACTATGCATATAAATATTTACAAACAAAGATACTTTTCCAAACAGGCAATCATTAGTACTGTAGTCACGAGGTTTTGCTTGTGATTTGACATCTTATTTGATAATATCATTTGCTACAACTAAATTTAATCTGGGGAGTGCAAAATAGGGCCCAGGAATATTATGTTCGATATTTTTTTACATTTTGTCAGCCGAGACTATGAGTCGTTAGACAGAAAACCTTTCATGTTACCATTTTCAATATAAATTAAAAAATACTACTACATTTACTTGGTATATATTTTATTTTAATTTTGAACCCTTTTAAAAGGGTCTTTCGGTTCCATAATAAAAATTAGTTGCTGCTTACTAGAAACATTCTATATAGCCTAAACCAATTTAGAGTTTGTTTTCGATCAATTTAATACAAAGATTTAAAGTTTTTAGTCGATGATAACATTCCACACCAGCACATTGCAAACCTATTTTATAAATAATAGGAATAAACTTGTAAATCATTAATTTGGTAGTTATCTCACTCATATGATTTTTTTGTTTATATGACTATTTCGATTTCTAAATATATTTTGGCCTTACAATACGAAGCGTTTTGTATCTACCACTTTTTTAACGATGAATGTTGACAGGCGTGTACCTTTTTCGGAACAAGAGGCGTTTTAACGAAGGAAATGATTTTCGAACTATCTAGTTAGTTTTCGGAAAAATAGAAAACGTTTGAAGAAAGTTGTCAATAACAGTTTGTCGTTCATGTGTTTCATTTTGATTAGCTTTTATACTAAATTGCGTAGAATATTTTTCCGATTCAAAATCGAGATTCTCGATATTTCCACAGTTTATTTATAATACCTTCTAAACTGGATTTATCTATCATTTTATATACTTTATAATATATGTTCATGCCCTACTTTTCACTTTATTAACAATTTTTTTTTAACATACTTCAAAATGGTAGGATATTCTCAATTCGTTGAAATATTTTTTTAAGTACGTTGAACGATAATTTTTTACCACGTTGCCCGATTTCTAGGATTCTTTTTGTTAGAAAAGGAAACAGTTTTATATACATTAAGTCAAGATCTGAAGATGGGATCCATAAGAAAATCATTAACATCTTTATTTTTAAAGTAGGTTTTTTTTTTAAATTTCTTTAAACCTTACTGATTCGAACGCGGTAAGGAATGAAGAAATGTAAATAATTGTTGTGCCAGCCAAAAAGCGAAGAGGAAGTACCGATTAAAATATCGAGTGACAGAAGAGTTCCTAAGATTGTTGAGATTGGGTTTATGTTTTAAAATGCCTTAAAACCGATATCGATAATGTCTCCCCATCGCTGGGCAGCCTGTATATAAATATACAGCTCTCTATTTACATAATTATAATTCTTAGGTAGGTTTAGATTTGCAGACATAAATCTTGTAATAAATATAACAGCTGCCTAATACATTGATTACATTTTCATTAGCCAATGTAAAAATATCTTTTATTGTACCTAGGATTTGACTAAACACTACACAAAACTAAAAATAAAATGCCACTTTCATCATGTAATTAATGCCGCGTTTGAGAATCCACATCGGATGCATTTTATACATCTGGAGCGTTTTTTATCCACATCGGACACGTCTGTCCCATTACATTTACGTATACTGAATCACGTGATCAAAGATTTACTACTACTACATCTCAGATGCATCCGATGTGGATTCTCAAACGCGGCATAAATAATAAACTACAAACGGTCCTGTAAGGGCAGCGTCATATAGCCTTGAAACACCGGATTTTAGTGCTATTGCCAGGTCAATATTGAATTTGTAGGTGAATCGCTTATTGAACATTAAAAATACGGTATTAATGACATTAATAGGGTATTTGTATATATTTTTGGGAACGTTATTACACATAAATATTATTAGTTGATTATTTAAATGTTTATAAGTTATTTTGTGGCGATATTTCGTAGATATAAACTGTTTAAATCATATAATTTAAAAATTAATTAATTTAAAATTCTTTTGTGTTAGGTATGTTTAATATATTTGGCAACACTACAGGGACAAGTCATGCATATTGCGCAAGCTTCTAGACACACTATTTTGCGATGTCAGGCGCAGAGACGCGTTTTTATGCACAGTAGGTTTCAATTTCTGCTTAAATGTTATGTTTATATTGGTCTTCTATATTATTTCTATGCTAATGTCTCAGTCGCACATCCCTTGGAGTTAGTCTTATTTGACTACCAACTTTCGTAGTAAAATTGATATTCTGAGAGAGTCTTAACCATACATTATATTTACTGTTGGCATTAAGCGCAGTCACTATGCTACAAGAAAGTTTATTTTACATACATCCATTAGTTTAAGGGATAATTTACTTAATGCGTAAGTCACAGATTTGTGGGTTTGTTTTCATTGAGAAAAAATATGTGGAATTTGGTGAACTACAAGTAGGTATGGAGATAGTATTACCCCTACCAATTTATTGCCTCATAGGTGATCCATTTTTGAATATTCAGGATTGGACTTTGCGCATATTTTAGCCCAAAAATTATTTTTTTTATAATTACAAAATTTTAAGCATGGCCGCCATCTTGATTTTTTTAAATAGCAACATAGGTCATGTGATACACAATTTGAAAGGGTTTAACATCCTGATTACAAAAATGTATCATACATGGGGTCTAACACAACAGAAAGGATATTATTAATAGGGAGCGTAGGAGGCTGTGTATTCGTGTTAAGACCCCATGTGCCTTAATGATTATTCCCCAGTAGAAACCAGACTTTTTGATGAAAGACGTGGTTGAATTAGGTGAGATTTGTTTAAAGTCTGGTAAAGCGAAATATCTGGAATCCAATTTCTTTTACATAGAATGTTCTCTCCTAGACAGTCGGAAGCTTGTTGCAGACATACCATTTTCATGTGGTTAACTAGACAACAATGTCCTGACATCAATCCCTTTAGAATCCGTAGATCGTTCATGAGTTAGCCCTGGGGTGGCTCTCCAGTGTTACTTCCGCTATAGAGAGATATAATTCCTTTGTCAGTACTCTTTGCAATGCCGAAAGATTGTTTTGGTCCTATGAACTAATTGTATACTGGTAAAATGTGTAGCATTTGTTAATTCCATTAAAGACTGGAATTGAGAATTGAGACAAAACCGGCAAATTTGAGTTATGCCACTTTATTACTGAGTGTGCGATATATCAGTATTATATAACTAGTTGCAACTTATAAAATTTCAAAAAATTGTATTGCGATATTGATTTAAATTTTTATTTATTCGGTTACAAAAAATTATTATATCTGTGCGACACACGCTTCCTTAGATATTATTTAATTTAATATATTTTTAGGTTTAACCTTACGACCTATTTCAAATAAAAATATATTAAAAACTAATAAAATAGATGGAAAGGGACTATTAAAAAGTATGGATAGAAAAGAAGTTAGTTTTACAGATGAAAAAGGCCAAAATAATAATGAAAAGCAATTGACCAACCGAGGTAAGTACTTAATTCCAATTCAGTTATTATATTTGTAGAAAATTATTTGGAAAAAGGTAATTTAACTAGTTAAAACTAGCTGTTACCTGCGACTTTGCTCGCATGTAGTCGTGTTATTAATATAAACAAATAAGTGACTTCCTTTTTTATTAGTTTTATTGATTTTAATTCATTTTTTTATATTGATTAATTTTTATTCGTTTTTATCCATTTTTATTCATTTTTATTCATTTTTATTCATTTTTATTCATTTTTATTCATTTTTATTCATTTTTATTCATTTTTATTCATTTTTATTCATTTTTATTCATTTTTATTCATTTTTATTCATTTTTATTCATTTTTATTCATTTTTATTCATTTTTATTCATTTTTATTCATTTTTATTCATTTTTATTCATTTTTATTCATTTTTATTCATTTTTATTCATTTTTATTCGTTTTTAATAATTTTTATTTATTTTTATTAATTTTTATTAATTTTTAATAATTTTTATTAATTTTTTATTAATTTTTATTAATTTTTTATTAATTTTTATTAATTTTTATTAATTTTTATTAATTTTTTAAATTTTTTTATTAATTTGAAAATCCAAAACCATGAAACACAGAATTTTTGAATTTTAATCAGTAGCTGTAATTCAAATTTTTATATTTCAAACTTTAAGTAACAAAAAGATATATACATACTATTAAACAAATTTTCACACCCCATTTCCCCCCTTAAAATGTTAAAATGCAAAAATCCTGAAACACTTCATTATTTATTTATGATGAGAACCTACAATTCCAATTTTCAAGTTCCTACCTTTAAAAAAATCGATATCTCCAAATAAACTTTCACCCCCATTTCCCCCCCTTAAAATGTGAAAATCCAAAAACCCTGAAACACGTCATTCATAATTTGTAGTCAGTAGCTGCAATTCCAATTTTCATGTTTTAAACTTCAAAGAGAACAAAAAACATTAATAGTCCCATACAAACTTTCACCCCCCGTTTTCCCCCCGTAAAATGAGAAAATCGAAAAACCCTGAAACACGTCATTATTTATTTATGCTTAGTAGTTGTAATTTAAATTTTCATGTTTCTAACTTTAAAGAACAAAGAGTTTCATTAAAAGCTTCCTCCCCCTATTTCCTCCAATTTCACCCCTTTAAAGTTAAAATTTTGAAAAATCAATTCCTAGCAGATGTTTACGTTATAAAATAAACCTATGTTCCAAATTTCAGCTTTCTAGGCTCAGTAGTTTTGACTGTAGGTTGATAGGTCAGTCAGTCAGTCAGGACAAACAATTTTATATATAGATTGTCTTATTTCGGAAACAATTATTATACGTTTTTTTGAACAAAAGAGAATTTTGTCTAATTATGGTAAGTTGTCAAATAAAGAACGTGAAACAATAATTTTTAAGTTACATATAAAAATATCATACTAGATTTTATACAAAGCTTATTCCAAAATACAGAATTTTTGACGAAAAAAGTTGAATACTACTAAGATCATTTCGAATATGACCCTAATTTATTTCTAAATTTGAGTCGTGATGAAATTACGTTATATTTTAATTCTTATTTATAAAAAGGTACAATATGATACAGGGCGTTTTAAACAATGATAATCTTAATCTACTTACCAAAATATGCGAGCCTTTTAATAAATTACAAAAAACTATTAAATATGTATGAAAAATATAAAAAACTAAACGGCCAAGTTAAAATTATTTTGAGTATACGGGATGGCTTAAAAAAGTGCGACGGTATAAAGCGTTATTTTTTTATCGTAAAAATAATGATATTTGCTCAAATGGAGGTATTAGTAGACCACATTTCCCTAGTAGATTCCTTTCTACACCTTAGTGCACCTGCTTTTAGAAGTACACCTAAAAAACTGTTAAGTTCATCTTCCTCAAGATTTGTCCAATGTCTGTTGTTGTTGGGATTTTTGGTATTCCACTCATCAAAATTCCTAGTAGCTTCTTCATTAGTATGACGACAGATAATTTCTTTCATTTGCGTTGTCAAAAAGAGGTTGAACATATCTAAGAGTCTTTACTGTAATCTGTAGTGCCTGGACGTGCATTTGCAATATACCTTTGGCGTCTTCTAGTTGTTACAAAAGGGTGCATATTCCACTGCAAACCTGATTTGGAAGTATATTTTATACTACTACCTTCCTCAACATCTTCTTGAGGTTCCGTAAGTTCTCCTTCCTTATCATCTTCTTGAGGTCCTCTCGGTTCTTCATCTGATTCCTCTTCACTTTGTATTTTTAAGTTATTCTCATTTTCTGTCATCAAATCTTCAGCCATCTCATTTTCCGACTCTTCTTCATCGCTTTCGTACTCCATTTCAGAGACCCAGTCGTCAATATCGTTGATTAGTTCTTCATGTTCTTTTTGTGTTAGTGGCCTGGTTCTCTCATAACGCGTTCATTCTATAAAAAAATCTGATGTGTCCAACACATGATTTTCCTATCTAGTTATTATAGGCTTTTCCCGGTTATTTTGTACAACCTATTGCAGCATCGCTATAAATGTTTAGAAGATAAACTAAATATATACATTTTCCTCATACATCTACCTCGAAACATTTGGACAATTAATTTATTTGGACTATGTTTTAATAATAATGGATGTAAAACATTTAAAATGCATTCTGCTATTGATTTGGCGTCGTGTCCATCGAGCATATAAAACTCCAAAATCTTTCAACTGGTTCTTTACACAAATATTTGAAAACTATAACTAATTAAAATTCACAAGCTTATACATTCATTGGTTTCAAAGAAAACACCTTGGTGCCACACTTTTTCGTTACCACGTATGTTTTCCTACAAGAATTCATAAAAACGTAAACTGTTGTGTGATATCTATATATGTTTTTTATCTTCAAACAGGCCCTAATATATTAAGAAACAAAACAAAAAAAAGAGATATTAAAGAAGAAACACAAGAATTAATAGATCTAGAAGAGCCTGCTTCAAAAAACATCGAATTTTATATAAAGCAAGAAGATATTAAGGACAATGAATTTGAACGGATTAAGGCGCAGTTACTTGAAGCTAATCTATTGAAAGAAAATTCTGATAAAACTTTAGAAAAGTATGAAGAAATTGATAAATTAGTTATAAAAAATAATTTGCTGATGCAAAATTTTGATAAGCTGTATGAGGAGAATGAAAATATGAAAAGAATATTTATTGATTTGGAAAATAAGCTTGAAACATTTACCAAAGAGAATAAAATATTAAAAGAACAATTAGACAAAACTAGTTCATTATCCGAAAATGGTAAGTCATTTAAAAGTATTATGTAGTTCATCATTAGTTACTGACGACCAAAATCATTTCTCATACCAAGAATTGAGGGACTTTCAAAATTTTTTGTCAATATTATTGAAGGAGGTAATTTCTAGGCCTATGTTGTAATACAGTGTTTTTATTATATTCCTAACACTCATTTAGTTATTTTGATTAAAATTGGCTGGTTTGTAGTACTAAGAGAATAATTTAAGTCCATATTACGCACACCAGATGCGAAAGTTGACAAAGAACACCAAAAGAAAAAAAGATAAATGGCCATACTAATTTAAAGCAAATTTTTTTTATTTAAGCGAAGTTGCCGATGCTTTACAATAGTTATATGACTTCAGACTTATTCTTCTTCTTTTTTACGTTACATATAAATGGTTCATAACCTAAAACTACTAAATATGAAATAATAGCTAATAAACCATGGTCTAAGATCCGAAGTAAACCTTCACCCATCTGTTTAATGGATGAAAGTTTCTTTTCATTAAATACAATATGTTTATAAATATACCGCAAATGGGATGCCTAAGAAAATACGGTCTAGACTATTTATTTTCTTAAAACTGTAACGGTTTTAATCACAAAGCACATAGAGGTTCCACGTGAATGACCAAGGTCAAAACCGACAACTGACATTTTTTATGCTATTTGCTCCAAACTCTAGATGGGGCTACTGGTAAACTTCTGATTTCTTACTCCATTTTTAAGCTTTATGGGAGAAAAACTTAACCAAAGACTCCAAAGATGTGACGTGTATTTATTTATGTTTTTGGTTAATCTCATTTTTCCGTCTGATTTTAGTGATTTTTTGTTGGCTTTGGCTTTTGGTTTCTGTTTATAGTTTCGTCTTAGTTATTTGCAAAATTGTGATGTTTTGCTTTTCTATTTGCTACTGTGTTTTGCAATAATTTTGGTGCTACCTGTGGGTGCTACGTTGAAAACTTCGAGAAAAACTTATTGATTCACCATGCATCTGCATCATAAAAAGACAAACGGGTATAACAACTAATTGATAATCAATTTATCACTGGACTAGATTCCGAAATCATTTTTCACATAAGAGAGTAATACACAAAGCAGTGGAGTAATACCACCATCTGTATTTGGAAGGAAAATACCTATTTATCATTGAATGAATAGTTAAAATGATTCACCTTTTAATACAATACCTATATTACATTTGTCCTCGGTTTAAAAGACATTTATAAAATATATTATTTTAGTGTTAATAAAATGTAATATCCTAGTCTCTACTTCACATTTAAATTATTGATAGGTATTTTAAAGATTTGAGAGTAAGTATTCGTTAAATATGTATTATTATTTGTATTTATTTTTATCTAATAATATTTATTTAAGTTATTAATAAACATATTTTAAGAATGTTCTATTTGATTATTTATTGATATATCTTATATTTATTTAATAATAATATGCAGAACCAACTCTCCACATCAGACCCCTGCTTATAACAAATTAATTCCTCAAATTTGGTATAATCGACCTAAATTATTTTGTAAAATAAAAGTTTCGAACTTACTAGTTCCATTCTTTATTTTATAAAATAATTTATGTGGAAATCATTTAAAATTTAATTTAAAACTACTACCTACTCCTAAAAATTACAATTTGAATTTACCGCCATCTGTCAATTGCCATTTTAGTTCCAGCTCCAAACACAAGGTGGCGCTAATTTGGTTTAAAAGTTTAACATTGGCGTGGGGTCTCTAGAAGATACATGCTTTGTGGTTTTAATCGAGCGTTAAGACTATAGTATAAGTTTTGTTCGTTTATAAAGTATTTCTTTACCTATATTTGCTTAAAATAAAACTTACCGACTAGTCAAAGTTTTCATGCATTCAGATTTTACCCTGTAGAGTTTGAAATTATAGGGATTTTACACATTTTACAAGAATTAGAATATCTTCACCATAAATAGGCAAAGGTAAACTCGTTTTATGATACCTTCTTTGTGCAAATTTACCTTTAATATTAATCCTTGTTGTGGTAATTTGCACAAACACTCGACACCAATCTTTGTAGTATATAAACTTCACGAACGGCATTTTTCGTTAACTTAGATCATGATTTAATTGTCGTGGATATTTTAAATACTTTGTCACAAACATTAAACGAAAATTTATATTAATAATAAATGGGGTTATATTCATATTTGTGTGATTGTTAGACAGCTGTCAGATCATAGATAAGTTCTACAGAGTGATTCCTTGATGATAGTGTATTCTTTTTAACATTTCATTCCTCATTGATTGGGGAATAATGATTTGATTATTTCTCAATAGTAAATTAACAAAAACAGTTATTTCATTTTTAAGTTTGAAGAAACTTTTTAAATCTTTATGCAAGTTATTTTTATCTTCAGGCCATCCTTTCTTTATGTACACTTTAAGATCACTTAGGTTTTTGTCTTTACTGGTTTCATCTTTGATTTTATGATACATTAATGCTTAATTTGACAATACCTATTTGAGATTCTAATTTGAGATTTAAATTGTTTTTTAATTCTGGTTTTTCAGAACAACATCGTGGTAAGGTATCAGCTATGTAAAGTTCTTTTCTCTTTTTATAGTGAAGCTTGTAATTATATTTCTGCAGTTTAAATAACATGCGTTGGGGCCGTGGTGGTGTGTCTATTAAAGGTTTTTTTACAATTGTTATTAGAGGTTTGTGATCAGTTTCTATGTCAAAAGCTGAACCATACATGTAACTATGAAATTTTTCACATGACACCAGGACTCCAAGCAATTCTTTCTCAATTTGAGCATAGTTTCTTTGTGTTAAAGTGAAGGCCTTCGATATATATGCTATAGGTTGTCCCTTTTGTAATAATATTAATTTTTTTGAATAGTCTACAGACATTAAACTTTTTTATGGATATCAAAGTGTCTTAGGACGAGTGAAGTTGAAATTTTTTGTTTAATGTCATTGAAGCATTCATCATGTATGTTTGACCAATGCTACTCTACATTTTCTTTGATTAACTCCCTTAAGGGTGCAGTTAGATCAGATAGGTTTCTGTGTTTTGAATAAGTATGTAGGTTAATAAAACTACCTGTTCACTTTCGTGTCTCTATCTAGAATCTTTATTTCATCCTTCTACTGTCCAATCTGTCAGGTACCCACTGCTGCCAAATCATGTACAGGTACCACTTATTTTTTTTATATTTCTTCAATTATTTAATCAGATATTTTCAGACCATACACCCACATACAAACGCTATGGGAACTAGTTGAACAAACAAAATACAAAATATATAATTTTGCTGTAAGAATATTGTTAAAAATAATTTATATAACAATTTAGTTTCAGAGAACAAAATAGTGGTTTCTGCAATTTTAGTACAACAAATTAGCATTCCAGAAACAGCAATATAATATCAATAAAATATAATAATCTCGTAAACTAAAAATTGTAAAGCTACTTTGTTAGTTGGGTGGGGAGATTAAGGGGAGTTGAAATATTAAAAAAAAAATTCAAAAACGAAAAATGATATCAATTTGAAATTTTTAGCAAAAATCAACCTCTATAAGGGGACAAAACCTATTGATGTTGAATAAAATTTAATTTAAAATGGGGGGTTATGGTGGATAGAAAAAAAAAATCATAAATCGAAAACGAAAAGTGACTTCAACATGAAATTTCAAGTAAAAATTGAAGTTCTATAAGAAGATGAAGCCTATTGATTCTAAAAAAAAAAAATAAATTAAAATGTGGGGTCGAGGAGGATTGAAATATTAAAAAACTATATAACTATAAGATGAAAAACTCTTTTATTTTGAAAAAAAAAAATCTGATTAAATATAGGGGGTTTAAAAAATCATAAATCAAAAATGAAAAGCGATATCAACATGAATTTTTTTAGTAAAAATCAAGGTGAATCAAAATTAACTATAATGTTTTTAAATGAGAAGTCAAGAAATGGATTTTACAAACAGACCACGGTGTTGAATAAGAGGAAAGGGTAATTGAAGTTAAAAGTGTGAATGCAATGATTGGAGCTTGACTAAACGACCGCAGCTACAGATTCGCCAGAATTTTCAACTTGAAAGCAAATAAATATTTTTCGTTTTAGCTATAAATACAGAATTGATTGATTTGACTGATATGAACTCTATATGCAGAATATGTTTACAAAAACATTCAAAACTAAAATCTTTTGACGATTCAATAAATTTTGATCATCCAGAGATCCGTCCAATAAATGTTTTGGATGCTCTGCTTTCAATAGGATTGGATTCGGTAAGACTTGATATCCGTTTAAGGTTAAATATATTTCATAGATTTTAAAAATATAAAATTAAAAGTTGTCTAATATTTGATGAGTAGGTATGTTAGGTGAATTTTTTGAAAATATTTCAACGTACGATTTATTTTTTGGTCGGGTATGCGATGTATAAAATAACCTAACCTAACAACAAAAGTACCAATAAAATTGTATTTTATTTTCAGATTACAATAATTGAAGACCGTTTTCCAGACAAAATTTGTCCAAAATGTGTCGAACAATTGAAACAATTTATAATATTTAAATACACTTACTCGAAGTCTTGTGAAATTTTAAAACATGCGTTTAAGATAAACGAAGAAACAAAGAATGCAGAAAATAATGATGATGCTTATTCTGAAATATATTCAACGGAAGATGTAACATTTAAAGATGAAATTCCGGATTGGAATTTAAAAATTGATGAAGCCAACCAAAACTTGGATTTTAATTTTAAGAATATCCAAAACACTGAAATGGCCAAAGACAATTCTTTTTACGATCGAATAAACCAGATAAAAGAAAAGAAACAAACACATAAATGCCCAATTTGTTTTAAAGTATTAAAAATTTCCCAATTTCGACCACATATACATACACATAAAGGATTGGAAAGATATTTCAGCGGTCCTAAGGTACCTAAAAATGTTAAGTTTTATGCTGTTCCAAATAGCACCGTTAGTCTGGTAAACGAGAAAGAAATGTTTCATAAATGTCCGTTTTGTCCGGAAAGTTTTACTGCTGCTGCTTATTTGATTCATGTCGATAATCATTTAAAAAATGACCAATTTACGTGCGATAAATGTGGTAGAGTTTTTAAAAAAAGGAGTTATTTGATCCAACATTTGTTGGTGCACACGAAAGAGCTGCCATACAGGTAAGAAAAATTTTATGTCAAGTGTTTCACCATTAATTTCCAGTTCACTAACTGACCAATAAAAGTTTTGTTCAATAAGTATAAAATTATTTTGTCCACGACTGTTCTATAAAACATTCATTATACTTGTACTTCCTTAACCTATTATTCACTAGTGAATAATGATCCATTAGTCACGGTACGAGTCACGACAGCACGTATGTCTAAACTGATATGAAAATATTCTTTATAGGTAATCGAAAAATCGAAAAAAAAATGGAAAAATCGAAAAAAATGGAAAAATCGAAAAAAATCGAAAAAAATCGAAAAAATCGAAAAATCAAAAAAAAAATCGAAAAATCGAAAAATCGAAAAATTGAAAAAATCGAAAAATCGAAAAAAATCGAAAAAAAATGAAAAATCGAAAAATTGAAAAAAAAAATCGAAAAAAAATCGAAAAATCGAAAAAAAATCGAAAAATAAAAAAAAATCGAAAAATCGAAAAATTAAAAAAAATCGAAAAAAAACGAAAAATCGAAAAACCGAAAAATTGAAAAAATCGAAAAAAATCGAAAAATCGAAAAATTGAAAAATCGAAAAAAATCGAAAAAAATCGAAAAATTGAAAAAATCGAAAAAATCGAAAAAAAAATCGAAAAATAAAAAAAAATCGGAAAATCGAAAAAAAAATCGAAAAATCAAAAAAAAATCGAAAAATCGAAAAAAAAAAAACGAAAAATGAAAAAAAAATCGAAAAATTGAAAAAAAAATCGAAAAATTGAAAAAATCGAAAAAAAAAACGAAAAATAAAAAAAAAATGAAAAATCGAAAAATTGAAAAAAATCGAAAAATCGAAAAAAATCGAAAAATAAAAAAAAATCGAAAAATCGAAAAATTAAAAAAAAATCGAAAAAAAACGAAAAATCGAAAAAAAAATCGAAAAATCGAAAAATTGAAAAAAAAATCGAAAAATCGAAAAAAAATCGAACAATCAAAAAATTGAAAAAATCGAAAAATCGAAAAATTGAAAAAATCGAAAAATCGAAAAAAATCGAAAAAAATCGAAAAAAATCGAAAAAAATCGAAAAAAAAAAATCGAAAAATCAAAAAAAAATCGGAAAATCGAAAAAAAATCGAAAAATCAAAAAAAAATCGAAAAAAAAATCGAAAAATCGAAAAAAATGGAAAAATCGAAAAAAATCGAAAAAATCGAAAAATTGAAAAAATCGAAAAATCGAAAAATCGAAAAATCGAAAAAAATCGAAAAAAATCAAAAAATCAAAAAAAAATCGAAAAAAAATGAAAAATCGAAAAATTGAAAAAAAAATCGAAAAATCGAAAAATTAAAAAAAAATCGAAAAAAAACGAAAAATCGAAAAAAAATCGAAAAACCGAAAAATTGAAAAAATCGAAAAAAATCGAAAAATCGAAAAATTGAAAAATCGAAAAAAATCGAAAAATCGAAAAATCGAAAAATTGAAAAAAATCGAAAAAAATCGAAAAAAAATCGAAAAAAAAATCGAAAAATAAAAAAAAAATCGGAAAATCGAAAAAAAAATCGAAAAATCAAAAAAAAATCGAAAAATCGAAAAAAAAAAAAAAATCGAAAAATGAAAAAAAATCGAAAAATTGAAAAAAAAATCGAAAAATTGAAAAAATCGAATAAATCGAAAAAAAAAACGAAAAATAAAAAAAAATGAAAAATCGAAAAATTGAAAAAAATCGAAAAAAATCGAAAAATAAAAAAAAATCGAAAAATCGAAAAATTAAAAAAAAAAACGAAAAATCGAAAAATTGAAAAAAAAAAAAATCGAAAAATCGAAAAAAAATCGAACAATCAAAAAATTGAAAAAATCGAAAAATCGAAAAATTGAAAAAATCGAAAAATCGAAAAAAATCGAAAAAAAAAATCGAAAAATCAAAAAAAAATCGGAAAATCGAAAAAAAATCGAAAAATGAAAAAAAAATCGAAAAATTGAAAAAAAAATCGAAAAATCGAAAAATTGAAAAAAATCGAAAAATCGAAAAGACGAAAAACAACAGTTAGTTACCTATGTTTAATAAAAACTTTCCATTCTACACTTAACTTTTATTTAATAAAGAAACCATAATGGTCGTGGACAAAGTATAGTATTAGACTCGCAATTTATGGCCATTATTCATTGCTCTTTTAATAATATACTATTATCTATTAACCTGCTGCAGTACGACCAACGAGAAGATGCGGATTGACAAAAGTAGAAATTAGAGCTCACTGTTTTGGACTTCCGATTCGGACATCGTCGTGGCAACATATGGCGGTCTCCGAATCGGGAGCCCTGAAGTCCAACTAAAATCACTAAATATCTAGTGTAAAAGTGACCATTCGACTTTAAAAATAACACAGTGTCTAGGTACATGCTAACTTGTACGCAATTCAGAAATTTATATACACGCGGAACGTCTTGACAGAGTAGGTGAGCTGTATGCAGGCCGTTGGTGTTTACGCCTGTCGTATGGATTGAAATTTTTTTGTGGCGGTGAAGCCGCCACCTTACGAAAAGCCGTTACTTCTTTTTCTTGTTGTCACGGCATTATTATTATTTGTTCATGTATGTGAAATTTGCTTTCTAAGGTTTATAAAATACTACTGTGTTATAGTCTATTTTTATGTATGAGAGAGTATTAAAATAATAAAGCGTTCGTAATCCATAGGCGTAGCACTTCTTTTAGTAGACAGTTAAAATATTTTTTGAAGTTATTCTTCGAGTATACACTTATATTTTCACCTAATTAACCTGCTTATAACTTCTAAACAGCTGAAGGTAAAAAAGTGCAATTTTTTCTAAAATGTTTTAATAATAATTGTAATATAAAAACTACTTCTTAACTACAAATCCAAATCAGAATCGAAATCAGAAGATGAACTGTCGCAACCAATATTTACAATGAGTGGCTCGATCATTTCATCAGTAATATTGTCCAATTTCCACATTTTCTCTTCTTCTTTAATTGTATGATTTACTGCCTTTTCCCAGTTTTCAGGCTTCACATTATTTACAGCCTCCAAAAACAACTGTTTAACATCACTCATTTTAAAAGAATTATTTTTTCTTGAAACTTCTCCCTTTATCTGTGCCCATATCAGTTCAATCGGGTTTACTTCGCAATGATTTGGTGGTGATCTAACCACCGTCATCCCACGATTTTTTGCAATTTCATCAATTTCATATTTTTTGAATTTCTCTTTATGAAGGGAACACAAATGATACAGTTCTTTTCTCACAGAACCGGGATGGAACTTAATATTCTTTGAATTTAGCTAATTCTGTAAATCTTTTTTTAACCACTTGGTTGTGGGCATTTTTTCTATAAGTCTCGAGTGATAACTTGCATTATCCATTACTATTATTGAATAGATTTTAAAGCTTAATTGTTAGAATTACTACCACAAGATGGTTTTCATAAATGTCATTTTAGAGATAATTTTGTAAAGTATACTACCACATATTGTTAGTTAATCTCGCTCGAAGGACCATGAACTTCAAGCGGGCGAAGGACCATGAATAGATTTCAACGATAATTGTAATTAATACCACAAGATGGTTTTCATGAATTTCATTTCATAGATAATTTTGTAAAGTAAACTACCACATGTTCTTAGTCAATCTCTTTATTTTTCGTTTGCATTTACATTTATATTATCACAGAATAAACAATATACAATAACAATTAATATTATTTAATTATTTAAATGTACATTAGAAAAATATGTTTATTCCAATTTTAGTCTCTCTAGTTCAATGTTTTGAAAATAATTTTGAAATAAGTCAGCATTTTTATTATTATAATTTACACATCGAACTTGATACGAAATTGAAACGTGTTTATTATTAATTGCATATGAAATTAAACATTTTAATTCAATAAATAATTAATTTCATATACAGGATGTTAATTTAATTGGTGAATATAAAGAAAAATGTTCAAATCTGAACAATTATACAGTTCCGAGGAAGAAGATCTATAATTTGTTCGAACCACTCTTTAAAGACATCAGCATTCATGCCCTCATGGTAGTCACCGGTACGAGTAGATTCAAAGTCAATAAACCACCTTTAACAAAACCGTTTGAACTATCGATGTGTACTATTATTAGTCTGCGGCTCTTTCCTGATGGTGGATTTAAACCAGTAGATAAATTATTTAAAAAAGCCTGTCTTCGACTTGTAACAGTTTCATCTTGCCAAAATTTATTTGGTTTATGTCCCTCGTTGATCCATGTTTCATCTAAATAAAATATATTTCTTCTTTGGTTTCTCATTTCTTTTATAGTCCTTAGGTAATTTCTTCTCCATACTACAATATCGCTTCTTTCTATTAAAATAGACTTTCTGGAATGCTTTTTCCATAGAAAACCTATTTCTTTTAAAAGTTTCCATAGTGTGCTTCGACTCATTTCAGGGTAATCCTTATCATCTCGAACCGTGGCAAGAACTTTGTCTACTGTCAGAAATTCTTTTCTAAAGAAGAACGCATGCACTTTCCTTCGAAGTCTTTCTTTCAAAAGATTTTCTAATTGAAATTTTGGTTTTCCTGGAGCTTTAAGTGCTGTTTGAAACTCGCCACATTTCTCTTCTTTAACAACTCTGTAAATCGTAGATTTCCCAACACCAAGCGTACTACTAACTAATTCCACTGTGTCATCAACACTTTTACATAAATGTTTGTTTGTAAACGATTTAAAACAATTAAATATTAATGTTTTTTCATTAACTGTTAAAGGACCGATTTTTTGTCGTTTACGCGGCCCTTCCAAATTTTCCATGATCACACTAGAATTCACACTGCACCTTGCAAGTTGCAACTAAACGACATTTAGTAAACTGTCAAGAATACACAACTTGGACCTCCTTACTAGGGAGCGTTCAAGTATTACGTAACGCAATTTTTGGAGATTTTTAACCCCCCCTCCCCCCCCATGTAACGCGCCGCAACGTTTGTCTGTACCCCTCCTCCCCTAGTAAAACGTTACGTAACCACCAATTGACTATTTTTACCTTTAAATAATAATGTTACGTAACGGGAAGTTCAACTCCTTCCTCCCGCCCCTGTAACGCATCGTAACGTTTTACAAAAACCCCCCCTCCCCCCCCAAATTCGTTACGTAATACTTGAACGCTCCCCTAAATGGAAAACCTATAGTCGCATTTTCGGTGAAATTTGTTGGGAAGGTATTTATCTACTTATAATTCGATTACTGTAAGAAATTCTTGGAATTAAAATAAAACAAAATTGGCAAATAGGTACTTATTGAAAATAATCTTAAGATACGGCTATGTAATATTTAATACACAGGGCTTTTGGCCTGTCCAAACCTTTTTCTATTGTTCTGTACAGCTTATGTTTATAAAGGACCAATAAAAGACCCAAAACTTGTAATAGCTCAGGTACATTTATTACAATTTTAGGAAATATTTAGATTATTCTGTAAAAATATTTAAAATGACCGTACTAAGTTTTGCATTAGAAATGCTTATTTATCACTCTCTCATACATAAAAATAGACTATAGTTACGGCGTAAATGAAAACAAACAAGACGCATTCACACAAACACCTCCCACCACAGCAATATGACGTTTCGCGTGTATATAATTTTTTGATTTGTGTACACTTTAGCGTTTACCTAGCAACAGCGTAAAAATAATACTAAATTAAGTGGAAGAGTGAGAACATAAGTCCGACGTACGAGGGTGCAGCTTTTCCAGTTAACAAAATTTTAAAAAATTACTTAACCTGGGTGGATAGTCCTCGGATTAAGCCCATAATCACATAGAAGAAGAAGAGTTCACTGTTTTAACAAGAATATCGATATCTCTGATTGTTTTTTTTTTAAGGCGTTAAGGTTCATATTGTATAGCACTTTGTAAATTACGTTAAAACTGTTGCACAAAAATATTGAGAAACTTCATGAAGGTTTATTTTAACTATTTAACAACGTTTTATTTTAGAAAAATGTTTTTGAATATCTAATTACAGAAAATTGGAGATTAATTTTTTTCTGTATGAGTAAAATTTTAATATTTCCTACAATGTTTTTATTAGAAATTAAAAATGTTCTTAGTTAGATCGGTTAGTGGATTGGTACATTAGTATTTAACGTTTAAGAATCTTTACTTCGAGGAAAATTTTACCTGTTTGGAATGCTTTTAGCTGCAAAACGTGCAACAAAGGATTTGTAAATAAACAAAACTATGAATATCACTTATTGACTCATTCGTACAAAGATGACGAATTGCCATATCAATGTGAACATTGTGATAGGAAATTCTCTAATCCATCTCATTTAGCACGACACATGACAATCCATTTGGAAAATTGTTCTTACAGTAGCAAGTACAGAATGAAAAGGTAATTTAATTTTTTTTTAAGATTCATAAGTTATACTCATGTTAAATATTATATATTTTGAAAAAAACTTTTATTAAACATGAAGGTTACCAGGTTAGTTATTCTTGATTTCGAGGGAATAGAAAACCAGTTTTTCCTCTTTATCTGCAACGCACAAAATTTGTATTTTTGTCCCATTCTTCCCTCAAAATTTCTTCTCTCTGACATTCAAGAATATATACCCATCGAAATGGAGCATTTAATAGCGCCTCAGCATCGTTAATAGCCTACAGGACTGACGAACTGAGAGGCTCACTAACCCTATAAACCTTTTGGCGATGTGTCGTAAGGGACAACCTGGACAGGGATTCTTATGTGCGTACTCAACACGTAACGAATTGAATAGAGAGAGACATTACATACGAATCGCATTCTGTGGAACGAAGATAGTCGTCTCAACACATACCGCATTGAAAGATGAGAATCCGAATGCTGATGAAGGGGGATGCCCGTCAGGCCCACTTTTGGGGTATCTCAGTAGATATCCATCTAAGCCTCTATCAGGCTTCAATTTACATAGCCGCAAGGGAAATACCATTTTTAGGCCCTTACTATTGAGGTCCCTGGCGGTCTATGGTGGCTTAAGGCTTCTTTTTCGGCGCGATGCTCTTTTGCTCTGTCGATTGACAAATCAGTGTTATTAATCACTAGAGGGCGGAATATATGAATCAAAATATAACAAAATATGCGCATATATATATATATATATATATATATATATATATATATATAAAATTCAAACTAATTTATTGGGGGCAGCAATAATATATAATAAAGAAAACTCTTTAAAGATGATCCAAGCTTTCGGAAATTTAATAACTTATTTCCATCTTCAGGGAATCTACAAAAGGTGTGGTGTGTCTTCATAGGAACATAATATTAAGAGAGTGAGTTACTTACATCTTTGTGAGGATGAATTATTAATGATGTTAAATGTTATGATTTTGATGCACATATAGAATTAAAATTACACAGTTTTACAATATAACTTAAAATTATTGTGGTTAAAATTCAGTTTGAAATTTAACTGTTATGTCAATTTTTGTGTCATTCGTTGTTTATGTATACAAGTGTGTTAGATTAAATATAGAAATTACTAATAAGGAACCTAGTTAGGAAGATTACTTTGTACCTAAATTATTATTTAATAAAGTTTTATCTGAGAATGCAGTTTGATTAATTATTTCATCATCAAAAAAACTGTCACTAATTGTTGTGATGAATGAAAGGATGTTGTAAATTATTTCATCAAAAACAATACTGTCACCATTGTTATTAAATTTCCGAAAGCTTGGATCATCTTTAAAGAGTTTTCTTTATTATATATTGCTGCTGCCCCCAATAAATTAGTTTGAATTTTACATTACTATTCAGCAAAGACTACCCTTCCACTATATATATATATATATATATATATATATATATATATGTATCGCTGTTAAGCTGTTGCCTCCATGTAATAAATGGGGCGACCTGACCTCCGTGTTATTGCTTAATTTAAATTTTAATATAAGGGCATATTTACAATTAGGGGGAAGTCTAAAATACGTTTTTCATAAGAGGGGTATCAATTTCAAACAAAAAAAGTATATATATAATAATATATATAATCGGTACGGAAAATATAAAACCGCTTCTTTGTTATCATATATATAGAGTGATCGATGCGTCTAACTTTCCTCCAACAGTGTTGTCACTTTTCAGTGCAAATATAAAGCAAAGATCAGAATGAGATGCGTTTGCAAAAATATATAATTAATCTCCGAGCCTAAACAATTACTCATGATGTTATGCTGATGAGCGTGTAACCAATGAATAGTTATCGATATTATTAGTTCGAAGAATTTTTTCCACTTCAGTTATGAATTTTTTTTTATTAATTCGTTTAAAGAAGATGGGGCACCCTTTAAATTAAAATGGCTTTAGGTACTTTCTTCTATTTTTTTTTATATTAAAGAATGGGCCAAACTTCAGATGATGTTAGTTTAGATAAAAATAAATTAATTTATGTCAATTTACCTTAGTAGAATTATGCTTGCTTAGGAAGTTACAGGGTAGAGAAAATAATTCTTTTTTAATATTTTTACAATAATTCAAATATTTTTAAAGTAAATATACCCAAATTTTGTGAAAGTAAGTTTTTTGGGTGATACGAACGAATACCAGCTTTTTTGTTGCATGACATGTACAGGGCGTTCTAAACTGGCGTGCCAATCTAGTATTTACTTCAGATTTTTTTTAAGAATGAATATTTTTAATTAATGATTAATTTTTTTGAAATAGCATTCAATTTGCTTTAAAAAAGGTATACTTGTTGCATTTCGCTAAAATACATCATTTGAAGGAAACCTTAATTTAAAGCTAGTACTGCAAATGTATGGATTACTCCACAATTTCCCAATTTATTAAATCTATTAGGCAGTTGTCAAATGCAGTAGCACTGTTAGGATTAGTTTTACAAACATGCATTAGAGTTTTGAGAGATAAAATTCGTATTTTTATACAATGCCGCGACTTAACTTTTTCTCAAACAGTGAAATGACCGATATAATATCAGTTTACGCGCAACAGGGTTTTAATGTACGCGCTTTAGCAAGAAGTTATACAGATTTGTATCCTCATCGTAGACAGCCCAAGCGAAAATTGTTTTCATGTCTATTCGGCAGATTAAGAGAAACCAGAAGTTTTCGCCCGAAAAGCGTCAATAAACGACCTATGGTTCGAGATTTACAGTAGAAGGAAGCGATATTAAATCTTGTTGAAGATGACCCAGCAACAAGTATCCGTCGTATATCTGCCAATTTTGGTTTATGCCAGGGTACTGTGTCTAATATTTTACATGAAAACAATTATACCGGTAACATTTAACTCCAGTCCAAAATCTACTGTCAGATGATCTTTTAGCGAGAACAAATTTTAGTCAGTTTTTCTTAAATAAAAATCTGATGTGTCCAACACATGACTTTGCTATCTAGTTATTATAGGCTTTTTCCGATTATTTTGTACAACCTATTGTAGCACCTCTATAAATGTTTAGAGGATAAACTAAATGTATACATTTTCCACATACATCTAACTCGAAACATTTTTCTATAGATAATCATTGAAAACGAAAATACTGAAAAATTTAAATTTAGCCCTTTTCCTCCAATTTTTCCATTACAGTCCATTTTAGAAAAATCATTTAATAACAAAAATTATAGAGGTCGATATAGCATACAACTTTTAGTTTAACAATTTTCTTAAAAATCAGAATTTTGCACATTTTGTCAAATTTCTCGAAAAATTATAGATATAATATTAGAAGTAACTTTTATTTGAACAATTTTCTTCTCCAAACATGAATAACAGATATATTCCATGAAATATAAAAACGGCCTCCCATGAAGTACATCCTCCCCCCCCCCAGATGTTCCGACTTTGTCCAAAATCTAATCTTTTTACCTCAGGCCGAAATAAAACTTAAATTCGAAATTTACACATTTTCTCAAATATCTGAAATACGGTTTATATCAGAGAAAATATGTATGGGATAAAAATTATAGAGAATTATATTACAAACAACTTTTATTTTAACAATTTTTATAAAAAATTATTTTTTTACATTTTGTCAAATTTCTCGAATACGGACCATATTAAGAAACTTTTGTATAGAACAAAAAATATTGGTAATAATATATATTGTAAATAACTTTTATTTGAAGAATTTTCTTCTCCAAACGTAAATAACGGATATATTCCATAAAATATAAAAATGACCACCCATAGTGTACCCCCCCCCCCCCCGATGTTCCGACTCTGCCCAAAATCTAATCAGTTTATTGGACGCCGGAATAAAGCTTAAGTTTAAAATTTAGTGTTTTTCTTTGTATCGGTTCATGAGTTATGGTGGATACAGACACACAAACATCATCCCGAAAATAGTCAAAACGGATTCAGGGGACCCCAAAACGTAAAAATCTGTCGAAAACTGGAGGTTGAAAAAAAATCATGATTCCTATACTTTCCTTATCTGTATACAGATAGGAAAGTAAAAATAGACAAGATCCATTTTTTGTAAATAAAATTCTATTCATTGATGGGGCAACATTTACGAGAAAAGGAATTTTCAACTACAAAAATGCTCACACATGGGCTGTAGAAAATTCAAAGAGTACGAGAGTGTGGCACTTTTAGCATGAATTTAAATTAAATTTTTTTTTGTTATAGTCGAAGTTAACTTTATAGGACTTTTGAATGATTACTTACACTTGCTCGAGTACAACTTATTTGATCTGCTAGATGATGGTCCTTTAAATATTAGAGTTGATATGTGGTATTTACAAGATGGCGCCCCTGCCCATTATTCCATATCATTACGAAATCATTTAAATAACGTATTCCTCCAATCATAAATTGGACGAGTAAGTGAACATCCATGGCCTGCACGTATTCCAGATTTGAACGCCCTGGATTTTTACTTCTGGGGTTATATTAAGACTCTAGTTTATTCTGGCACTACTGTTAATGCCAGAAATAAATTGTTGCAAAAAATAGTAATAGCGGCTAATGTTATTCGACAAGACAATTCATTCTTAGCAGTTAGAAGAAATTTATTAAAAAGAAAAGAAGGTGCATTGAAGTAAATGGCGGACATTTTTAACAAATAATTTAAAATGAATTTTTCGTTTTTGTTATTAGTATGAAATTGTAAATTTTTTCAATTTGTTATTTTTAAATATTCTTTATCATTTACGTTGTCATATTTTTGCATTGTTTCAGTATCTACTAAATATTTAATGAAGTTCTGAATTAATTTCTTATAATTTATGTATTATCTTTAGATTTAACTTTATCAAATTGAGAAATTTTGGAGTAATCCATACATTTGCAGTACTAGCTTTAAATTAAGGTTTCCTTCAAATGATGTATTTTAGCGACATGCAACAAGTATACCTTTTTTAAAGCAAATTGAATGCTAT